TACGGGTTTGCTTTCTTGCTATATTATTTATCATTCTGTTTACTTGATTCTGAGCATTGGTCCGTAACTGATCACGCTCCTGTACCGCTTGATCACGCTCCTACCTATATATATCACGGTTCCATCGTTCATTCACCAGTTCTTGTTGCAGGTTAGTATATTTATATCGGATTGATCTTGTTGATCTTTTAATTTGATTTGTTAAAACAGTTCTACATATTGTTGTATTATTTAGGGATCAGTCTATTGCATCAGCCAACTCGGCTATTGTGGCCATATTATCATCAGAATTATACAAGTCTAGAGAATTTTCATCAGAATCGGATTCATTTTCGCCAAAATTCCATGCCTGTGTATTTTGTAAAGCCTCTTGTGTATTTCTAAGTTCTAATCTATCTCAATATCTTAATAATGCTAATGCAAAATTTTGACAAAGCAGGTCTGTAATACGGTTTTTTTGTTGGGTTATTTTGTTAATCCTATTTATTTGATTAGTTCTTACCGTATTTATTTCTTGTTTAAGCCGTTCATTCTCGTCTACTAATCTGGTTGTATAATCTTGTGCTTTGGGGGTATTGCCCGCAGATTTTGATATCTCCTGTATTCAGTTTTTTAATTTTGTCTCACACTCATCGAATTCTGATATCAATCTATCTTTATTGGAAATTTCTTTGTCTTTCTTTTTATTTTCTTCTTCAAGCTGTCGGACAATTCGTTTTAATTTTAAAATTTCTTCTATTAATTCTTCTTTGTCTTGTTTAGAAAGTTCGATAGCGTTATTTAACTCTTCTTCAAGAAATCGAATTCTTTTTTCCCGTATACCAATAACTCTTTCTAAGGTATATAATCTTTGTTCGAAATTCCTATTTGATTTTGCTAATTGGGATACTACCTCGTGGAGTTCTTGATTACTCTGTTGTAATTCCTCCATATTTTTTATTTACTATTGTCAAATAAAGTAATAGAAAAACCAGTTATCTATATCGATCCAGATGAGGCTCAGAGAATCGAAAAAAATCTCATATTGCGTGATATATATTATCACCCGACTGGGTATTATTCCAATCCTAAATCCTTAAGAGATGTATATAAAAAAGAGGGTCATCGATTTAACTTAAAAGATGTAAAAAATTGGCTAGAAAACCAGCAATCGTACCAAATCTATATGCCCCACCTAGACATATTCCTAGAGTCAGTTATGGGAAAATAACACAACCAAATTGTATACATCAAGCTGATATATTATTTCTTACACATGATAAATATAAGAGAAAAATATATAAGGCAGTGCTTAATATAATAGATTGCGCTTCCCGATATAAAGCATCAGTCCCGCTTATCTTAAAAAAAAGTTCAGAAGTTACTAAAGCGTTTAGAAAAGTATATGATAACCCCAATAATCCTCTTACCTATCCTAAGTTACTTCAAACAGATAATGGAAGAGAATGGATGTCTGAAATATCCCAGTTAATGCAAGAATATGGTGTCACAATTCGAATAATAGGGCCCTATAGCCATAGAGGTCTTGCAATGGTGGAACGTTTTAATAAGACAGAAGGGGACATGCTCTATAAGATTCAGTATGCTGTTGAGTCTATATCTTCTGAACCAAGATTAATAAGAGCATGGGTTAGACATTTACCAAAAGTTGTTGATTATCTAAACAGTTATCCCACACACCTTATCAGAGAACCGGGTTCTTCGAAATGGGGGTTAGCATCTTCAAAGGCTATTTTATTGGAGAAGGTTGAGTCCAGACCATCGGTTCCCAAAAAGCGAGCCATTGGAAAGGGTGAAGTAATGTTAAATAAAGATGATTCAGTTTGCTACCTTCTTGCTAATACTGAATGGGAAGGTGGTATGAAAGCGGTTCGTAGAAGCACTAACCCCACATTTTCACTTTCTATTCATAAGATCCGAAAAATTGTGGTTTCTAAAAATGAGCCTGTCTTATATTATTTCGAAGGTAATGAGTTTTCACCAAAGCGGGGATTCATAAGAGAGGAACTCATGTTAATAGCTGATCTAGAAAAGGTTGAGTACCCCCCTC